CCACAATGTCAGTAAGCCCTGAAACCCACACTGGGAGGTTGTTACTGATGTTGGCTCTCCTCCGAATAACAGGCACATATTATCACTGCCAAAAACAGGGCCTCAGTTAAGTGTCAATTGCTCACTTCCGGCCACCTAATTTGCAGTTCTCCGGAGACTACCGCCACCGCCGAGCGTATCCCCCACGACGCTCACGCGGCTTGGATTGGGGCTAAACTAGATGGCCTGGACTCACGAGCAAAGCTGCAGGAGATGCGATATATGGCCGTTATTCAGAGGATAGCCTCATAAACATTTAAGTACAGACTTATCAGACCACCCAGAGTAGCAGACTAATACTAAAATACTTGTGTTGACAGATGTAGCTGTAGGGTAGGTTTTTTTTCTCTCCTAAGGATTGATCACCCTGTCGTTACTTTTGCTTTTGTCCCTGGCCTGATAAAATGTAATGGAGGTTGAGAGGTTTTATAACAGGTAGGCAGCACCACAGTATTTGAGTATTTCGGGGTATCTGCCCCTTTCGGCCCTACACGCCTAGTCATATTAGCTTAGCCCTAATAATTGTTCACCTTTTACGACATGCTTTATTAATCAGCGTTAGGGGCAATGTGGATCCTCCCTAACCATTGAAATTTTTTTTTGGGTCTGTCACTACAGCGAGGAGATTATAGAATATACAAGTGGATGGCAGACCAATAGTGCAAGTCCCCGTAGACCCTCCTGACAGGTTTTAATTGGAGCATCCTTAGAAGGGGGATTGGGGGGGGGGGGCTGGATTAGGTTGAACCCACAACTTTCAGAGCAGGCCGCAAACGGACTGACCACTTTGACATGTTATAGAGAGCCCTGGAGACATAAATAGACTTTCACAGTGGGCAGTGTATCAGGGTAGCTTAAAATTATTCCAAACATCTGTAATTAAAGAGCCTAATGAAACAAAAAGGGGGGGGGGGTAAAGAAACATATGCACACAATAAAAATCATAGCCTTTCTCAACACAAAGGGGAAAATTATCCTGGTCACGAGTTATGGGGTTATGTGAGTTGAATAACTGTAGATTATAGGAGGGGGAGCTCATGTGAATAACTATAGAATGTTGCAGGAAAATTTGCTGTTGAACGAATACAACAAATATGAATGGAGCAAAAATAGTAATGAAACAGTACACCTATACTGAACTTGAAGTTAAACAGTTTCTGTCGCTGATTCATATTTCAAAATTAATATCCAGAAATGTAGAATAGAAATTAATGTTCCCCAGTCTGTCACTGCCCTTTGAACCCTTGGTACTAAATTGAGCATTCTAATAATAGAAAATAAACAGCAAATCCTTTTCAACACAAAACAACCCCACCATTTGTTGGCTGCTTGTGATTTTACCAGACAATTTTACTTCAGTATTATTCTTATAACCAGTACTAAGTTACAGCAAGAGACAACAGATAGAGTTTTGGGTGTGTGTCAAGACTGCCGTGCACCACAGAGAGCCCTGTCACATAGACGAATTGAAGCTCCTAGAGATCCACCGTACAAACGATGGATAAATGGAATATCCAAGGTTGTAAATACCAGCTCCTACCTACTGACTACCCACAAGCATGTCATAAGAGTCGACTAATTGGGATCTTCCTTCAAAGTCGGAGTGCATCGGTCCTTGAGGCAAGGAACCAACATTCTGCATACAAATTAGTCAGATCTGTCAAACTGATGCACACGCAACACTAATGGGGTACTAAGGAATCCCACAGAAAATTATCAACTTAGTAAAGGCAACATATAAAGACATGAAATGTCGAGTTCTTCGTGAGGGAAAGCTAACAGATGCATTTGAAATAAAAACAAGGTGTGCGACAGGGATGTCCTTTGTCGCCTCTCCTATTTTTACTGGCTATAGACTGGACTATGAAAACAGTAACTGCTAACACCAAGAATGGAATTCAGTGGACCCCTACAAAACAGCTTGATGATCTGGACTTCGCTGATGATATTGCCCTTCTGTCCCATTCATGGAATCAGATACAAGATAAATTAAATATACTTAATGCGAAATCACAGCGGCTTGGTCTGAAAATCCATAAAGGAAAGACAAAGATAATGAGAATAAATCAGGCAAATAGTAATGTGGTTTCTCTTAATGGCACCCCACTCCAAGACGTGGAGTCGTACACCTATTTAGGCAATAATGTAGATAAAGATGGAGGAACTGATAAAAATATTAAAATAAGAATACAAAAGGCAAGAGGGGCTTTCATAGCACTAGGGAATTTGTGGAGGTCAAAAGAAATTAAAAGAAATACTAAACTAAAAATTTTTAATTCTTATGTCAAAATCAGTACTATTGTATGGGGCGGAACATGGAGAACAACGAAGGCAATTACTAATAAATTACAGACATTCATTAACTGGTGCCTGCGCAGAATAGAGGGAATAAAATGGTTATGATAGAATAACTATGTAGAAACTTTGGGAGAGAACTAAACAGGCTCCAGTGGATCAGGAGGTGAGGAAAAGACGCTGGCGTTGGATAGGGCACACACTGAGAAAACAGGAGAACAGCATAACTAGAATGTCTTTGCATTGGAATCCACAGGGGCATAGGAATAAAGGAAGGCCAAAAAACACATGGAGAAGACAGCTGGAGAATGAGGTTAGAAAGATTGGGAGGACATGGGGAGAGCTCCATGTAATGGCGAAGGATAGAACGACTTGGCGTGAGTTGGTTGAGGGCCTATGCTCCATTGGGGGATAGAAATGCAGAAGAAGAGATCCACCGTACAAACGATGGATAGATGGAATATCCAAGGTTGTAAATACCAGCTTCTACCTACTGACTACCCACAAGCATGTCATAAGAGTCGACTAATTGGGATCTTCCTTCAAAGTCGGAGTGCATCGGTCCTTGAGGCAAGGAACCAACATTCTGCATACAAATTAGTCAGATCTGTCAAACCGATGCACACGCAACACTAAAGTTCTGGAACAGGACTGCATTCCAAAAGTGGACAAACAACCAGAACTTTCCGACAGAGTTTACAGCTGGTGAACGTGAAGAAGAAGACGAAGATACCAGTATCTATATAGCAAAAAGGCTTGCACCCGGTATATCGTCAAAACCTGACGTTGAAATGCAGAAACAGGACTGGAGAAGAAGTAGAAGTATTCTTATATCCTGTTGCCTTTTGAACAGTTATGGTCAATATTTACAAATTGCTGGTATTGTCTATTTTCTTATTTGGATGTGAGAGTTTGACTCTCACAATGGAAATGGAAAAGGAGGATTCAGGCTTTTGAATGTAAATGCTATAGATGCATTTTACGAATTAGTTATTTAGAACACACAACTAATAAATATGTCAGAGACAAAAATATATAAATGTGCAGGACATGAGGAACCTCTCTTGGCAGTGGTGAAACGTCACAAGCTAGCTTGGTTTTGGCATATGATGGGACATGATTCAGTTGCAGTAACTGCTTCAAGGAACACTGGTTATGGAAGAGGGGGGGGGGGTTGGGTGGGTAGTCAAAGAAAAGGAGGGCAAAGAAGAACCTGGAATAACAACATCAAGAAATGGACAGGATTAAGTTATCATACACTTACTCATCAAGCAGAAGACACAGAGAAAGATGGTTGTTTTTATGTGCTAGTGCTTCCATCAGTACTTATCTACGAACCTAACGGGTGAAAGGTTATGTTATGTTTTGAAAAGTATCAGCGCCCATCAGCTGTTAAAATGAACACAAGTTTAATCTGCAAGCAAACTAGTCACCACTTTAGCTATGTTAGGCAGTGAATGCCTCAGAAGTCACAATGACTAGGAAAAGCAGCTCAGGATGGACACGGAGCCAACAGAAAGAAATGACAGACTACCGTATCTATGCAAGGAATATCATGTCAGTATGCAAGATGACCTGCATGGCATGGATTAGTCTCTAGTGTTCACCCTGTAAAGGGAACTTGGCCTGCTGTATTGTGGTTGACAGCTAGCATACAGGTTCTGCACCTTGAGCACAACACCTCGTTTCATCAAAACCTTAATTACTCACCTTTTATGACATGCTTGAGGTGGTACCATAGACATTGCATGCTTTTGTAGAGCTTCTCTGTTCTTAACTTTCCATCTTGTTCTTAGTCTGTCTCATGCTCTGTGCCGTTCTCTTCTGTTAGTTATGCCTTGTATAGTAAGGGGACGCAAGTGCACAAACCATGTTTTGGGGGGGAGGGGTTGCTTTATATATAATGACAGTAAGTGAAAAATTATTTGGAATTGGCGCAGATGTGGTTTTTGTTTTGTTTTGGTGAAAGATGAGAATTTCCTGGACAGATATAAAGAGTAATGAAGATGTCTTGAAAGAGTGACCCATGAAAGAGCTGTTGCCCACATCAGAAGGAGACGGTGTACATTCTTTGGTTATTTTATGTCTAGAGACAATGAATACATCGTTACCTTAGAAAGTCTAGAGGGGAAAAGAGACAGAGGGAGACAGTAATAAAAAATAAGTTGGATATTTTGACATCATGGCATGGAAGATCATCAGTGTCAGGATTGATTGAAAGTATACGAAACAGGAAAGTCATCAGTAGACGTGACGTGACTATCAATGACACATGGCATGGAAGATAGGATTGATTGATTGAAAGTATACGAAAAAGGAAGTCCTCAATAGATGTGACTGTCAATGACACATGGCATGAAAGATCAATGTCAGGATTGATTGAAAGTGTACGAAATGGGAAGACATGGATAGATGTGACTGTCAATGACACATGGTATACCAATGACACATGGTATAGTGTACAAAATAAGACATGTATGTACTGTCAATGAAACATGGCATTTTCAGGATTGATTTTGTACGAAATGGGAAGACATGAAGACGTGACTACTACCAATATTCCTATAAGATGTTGTATTCTAAAAAAACTGGTTTTTGTGCACTTTGAAGACCTTATTCCCAGCTCTTTCTTTCACTCCTGCAGCTTTTTTTTTTTTTATTTTTAGGAGGCTGTTGTTGGTGGAGAGGAGGAGGAAGAGATTGATGACAGAGCTCATGAAAAGCTACTGACGTCTATATATGCGCTCAGTGGAAAGAAAAGGTGACATTAATATGTTTTTCATTGATTCAGTGTAAAAGGGGTGCTGAATTCAATGTTCTGTGGGTAGTCATGAACCATTCTATCTAGCAAGATTGTGGTTCGTTGTGAGATATATACATTTTAATATTCTTTAACTGTTTGTTTGTAATATTAAAAGATATGGCTGTCCTAAAAAACCTAAACTAGGAGAATTGAAAGTAAACAGACAGGTGGTAAATGATGCGTTTGAGGACATTTTAAGAGCTTTGTGAGTCAGTCCATCAGTCTTGAACTAAATGTGAGACAAAGGGGTTGAAGATTCAATATATTCAACAAATTTATTGATAAGCATTATATTAATCAACCAGATGCCTGTGGCAAATGATGAGCATACACGGATGAATTCAAGGGAAGTGGGAAACAAATTAAAGGAGTGTCTGGTCAACTACTAATGTCAACATTTGTAAGAAAAGAGGACACTATATTGGACAGATTCTGAGAAAAGATGAACAAATAATCACCAAACAGGAACCAAAATGGGAAATAGAAGACACCCAAGAGAAACACTGACGGGAATATGGAGAGAAGCCCAAGCTGCTAGGCTGCATTCCACTTATGGTATTGAACTGATTGTGCAGCGTCGAACGGTGTGGAGAAATAGATGTGTGTCCTGTGTGACTTATAGTGGCACTACAGAACAATAAATCTTCTTTGTTTACTAGCTAAAGGCTGTCGCGGAAGGTCCTTGTTGTTACTCCATCTGGACTTTGGCTTTGTGCTAGTTCTGTTTTTCGTGTATATCTGGCTTATTGGTGCGCAGTTGGATGTTCCTTGTCGCTTGAGCAGATGCACTCTGACTTGGAAGAAAGCTCCTAATTAGCCAACTCTGTGGACATGCTTTTTTGGGGAGGCAGTGGGTCTATTCTTCTTTTTCCTCCATGGGGAGCTGCGGAACCCACACAGGGAGGAGAGTGAATAAATTGAATCAGCCGCTGGCAGGATGTTGATCATATCATCCACAGAGTGTTGATTAGTCTGTTTTTCTTGAGTTCGCTTTTTAATTTACACCGACAGACAAGTTTTTATGATAAACTTGACTGTTTTTAGTTCCCTACAACTTTGACTGCATTGTTGATTCACTGACCAGTATTCCGTTCTTAATGTGCTGTACAAGGGACATTTTTGCAGAACATGTTCTGTAGTCTGCACACATAGGCAAAATGGTGAACTATTGTTGAGTTTATGTCCTGTCCTGAGGCATAGAATAAAGACCGGCCCATGCTGGTCAAGTAAGTGGTATTCATTTCTGACCAGATTCTGTTCACTTTTGATAAACTGGATTACCCTTTTCTTCTCTATATGTTTACTCAATTCTCTTTCTGTTCATATTCTGCCCCTTTCTTAGTAAGTATATCTGAGGTTTCATTTCCTGGTATGCCACAGTGGGATGGCAGCCACTGTGCCAAGTTCAGATCTCAGGTGAGGAATAGTCTGTAATAATAGTAGTCTAGCACCATTAGCCTGATGACCCATCCAGGGTTCATTTACTTTACTGATCAACTGATCTCTTTTAAGTGCTTATTTCTGTTTTTGTTTGTTTTTACAGGTAAACATTTTTAGTGATGCTTTTTCTCGTGTGTGCATTCCTGGGCTTCATTTTGGATAATGATGAATAGACTCAAAAACAAGGGGTAGACTCAAAAAACAAGGGGTAGACTCAAAAAACAAGGGGTAGACTCAAAAAACAAGGGGTAGACTCAAAAAACAAGGGATAGACTTAAAAAACAAGGGGTAGACTTAAAAAAAACAAGGGGTAGACTCAAAAAACAAGGGGTAAACTCAAAAACAAGGAATTTACTAAAAAAAAACAAGTGGTAAATTAAAAAACAAGGTATACACTCACTGCACCGCTCATGAATAAGTCACATTATAGGGTTTTCTCCAAAGTCTGAGTGCATCGGCTTGAAAGGTAAGGAACTAAGAGTGCATACAAATAAGCCAGATCTGTAAAATGAAATGAATGCAAAACAAGTTCTGGATCAAGACCAGAGCTTAGGATTAGACGAACATCCAGGACTTTCCACCAGAGTTAACAGGTGGTAAACACTAAGAAGAAAAAGAAGTGATGCTTTGAAGATGAAACAGTTAACTGATTTGTTTATTATTCTTGAAGAAACGAAGGGGTTTAGTAATTGACTTTTACTTTCTTTGACTCACATTACACATACTCTTTATATGACTCATGACAGTGTATGTTTATTGTTCCAGATACACAAATGTTGTACGAGGCCTCCCGTCTACATCCAGCAGTGTGGATCTTATTGTACATGCAAGTAAGCATTTCTGTCATGACCCTACCCTCCCTTCAGTACTTGTCTTTGAAGTCCCTTTGTTTGTTCTGCTCTCACATTAGGCTTTGTGCCAGTAAAATAAAGAACCCTTTTCCACACCTTTAGGCATAGTGGGCATATAGGGCTAAAACTATTTTTTATGACCAATCAGCACTCATTTGGGCTATGTGATCAACATCTTTCTGGCTATCTTTACTTCCCAGGACTTTATCTGGTACCCACTCAAGTAGGGGTGACTGGGAGCCAAGGTCATCGAGTTGAAAAAAAAAAAAAAGCTTTTCATGACCCAAACCCACGAGCTTCCTATCCACATGTGTCCTCTAGCTGCTACACCACAGCTTGGAGTATTATATTCTTTCTTAATTAAACTACACAATTTGTATTTCTTTGCCAGTTATCTATTTTAGTTTCTTCCATTTCTCTGAGCAATAGTAATTGTCTTGTCACTTGCTAAGTCAGCCACAACTCTATGGAGAATTTACCCAGGTAAGAAAGAAAATTTTACCCCACCAGGACATCACACAAGCGATAAACAGCCGGTGACACAAAGTGCCATCATGTGGATGAGGATCACCCGTGGAGATATCCCGTTAAGTTTATATTAGGGCCCCCAACAACAGCCAGAGTGGGGCTTCAAAATAACATCACAAGGGGACGACTTTTTAGTCTTTAAAAGTTACCCAGGTGTTTTCATTCCCCTTTTTAGAGCCGGATCTCCATTAGCTGTATCGGTTGTGATCACAGATAGATACCCAAAAAAAAGACCTTGAAAGGTAGATTACACCTAGAGACCCATATGTTTGAAAGATTATGGTCTTCTTCTGCAATCTGTAGTCATGCTCTTAACCCACTGTGTGCCCTAAACTGGGATGTCAGTTTGAGATCTCTCAGGTTTCCCAAATAGCTTAGTTGTCATGTCTAATGTATGTGGCCACATGTTGTTTTGTTTAAAACACATCAAAGAGCTGGAAAATTTACCTTGCATATCCTATCCCATCTACCCTGTGTTTCCAAAAAAAGACTCATCCATGTTAAAAGTTGACTCAAGAGATGCCTTTGGGCTTGTTTTAGAACTGCAGCTAAATTGTTACTTTCTTGCCCATGTATTTTCTAAGCCTAATGGGGTAGACCCATTGACCATTAACAAGCATGGCATACAAGGTGTCTAATTATAGGTTTACTGAAATTGGATGTGTTGGGTCGGAAAAAAAAAGTGCGGCCTAGCTGTAAACCGCAACTCAAACACAGAAGTAGAAGTTATTCTCTGATTGTGATTTTTAACAATTTGATTTATTTCCTAGAGGGAGAGTCCAAAATTCGACTGGAAGATCTAAAAATGAAGCCAAGTAAAGGGAAAAGTCAGCTGAAGAAACCTAGAACTAGTCTTGAGACTGAGAAAGTAAGCAAGCTCAGTTTTCCTGTTTTTGTGTGAAGTATTACATGATCACATATAGAGACATCTTCTTCTTCTTCTTCTTGGCGTTTACCGGCTGTAAACTCCAGGGAAAAGTTCTGATTGTTCGTCGACTTCATGACCGCAGTCCTGTTTTAGAACCTGAGTGTTGCATGTGCATGCGTTTGACAGATCTAACTCATTCATGTGCAGACTGTTGGTTCCCTGCCTCTCAGGCAGATGCACTCCGACTTCAAAGAAAACTCCCAATTAGTCGACTCTTATGACATGCTTTTCTGTAGTCAGTAGGTTTATTCTTCTTTTCCATACAATAGGGCTGCAAAACCCACATGTGGAATATATAGACGTAAAAATGACTTTTTCAGGACCACATTTTTTTCTGGGGTTTGGACAGCATTAATTTTGAGCGGAATTTTTTTTTTGCAGAAAACTACGATACTGGGCTACAACCTGGTATCAGTGAGACAACAAAAGAAAAAGGTGTTATAATTGTACACCTAAAATGTTACACCAGCCAGGTGCAACTTGCAGTCTTGTGCAGGTAAAGATGTGGCTGGAAGGGTCAACCTTTTAGCACCTGATCTTATCACATATGAGTTGGGTTTCGATCCGGATCAGTGTGTTTACCACAGAAGTCATTGTTATTGGTGGCAGAGAGTTGAAGGGTTTAACCTTGTCACCCTGAGAAGGCTAAATCTAGTCACTTCATGCTATGACACACTTCTCTTATATGCCGATATGTCCATAACCCCAGCCTAGTTGCGTCAGGTGTGTCTGGTCTCGGGTTAGGAGGGGGGGGGGAAGTTTACCAAGTCTGACATCGTACATTGTGTTAGTGGCTTCAGGCAGAAGAGCACTTTGGGAAGGTTACTAGTTTAGACCTGGGAAGGAAGGATGCAGCCTGAAAAATGTTTCCAGGACTAGGCTGTGTGTGGCACCTCTTCTAGAAGGGGAACTGAAAGCAGATAGCTCTGCTGCTCTGTTCTGGCTTCTTCTGTTGCACGCATTATTCCAAACAAATTGGTGTTACCTTTTTTCAGAAGTAAACAGAGATCGTGCTGCATGGGCTCTGCAATACTTCCTGTGTTTTGCACTGTAAATAGAAGGAACTTCATCCATGATCCTAATGGGCCTTGCCTCCCCACGTCTTGACTGTGATTCCAACGCCATTGTATATCACAGGGTAGCACTGGAATTATGGACAAGTGTCCACAAACAACATAGCTACTAGCAGAATTGGAACCCTGGTGTGTCCGGGTTTGAGAAGCAGAAAAGCTGCATACTCCCTAGATTAACGGTGTACGGGGCACCGAGGCTGAAGGGTTTTGATGCTCCCGACACTGGGCCAAATGAGCTATGCTCAAGTGCTTCTGGTACCCAAAAAATGCTTATATATCCCCATTTCTGCAGTGACCTGTTCTCAAAAAGCATAGTTTAATGTCATTGGTTCTGTGTGCGCTTGCATAGTGTTTGGTAGGCTCGGTCGTGAATATATTAACTAAATCTACCATTTAGAGGTTTTCATTGTGAATCCAATAACCAGCTTGACAACATTTTCCATCACATCTCAGTGATAGCAGGGTGTCAGCATGAGTCGCCCGAGACATATTTGTTTTAAGCTCCCAACAAATTCATTTGCTTAATGCTTCACTGATAAATTGCATGTTTATACCAACCCTCTGCTACCAATGCCAAACCTGGTCCCTAACAAGAGCACAGGAGAAAAAGATCACGACGTGCGAAATAAGATGCTTACGTAAGGCTGCCAATGTCACAAGGAGAGACGGAGTTCGAAACGAGAACATTAGAGCAATTGTAGGAACCACACCATGCCTGCAATACATAAAGAAGCAACAAATAGAGTGGTTTTTCCACTTGATGCGAATGCAAACTGACCAACTGCCTCTACGATCATACAACGAACAGCACTACTGCCCTAGAACAAGAGGCAGACCGAGAGTACGATGGATAGACAATATATCAGAGATCCTGAGGCAACACGGACTAACAACAACACGTGCAACACACCTGGCCCAGGACAGAAAACTGCGACTCCCCACTACGCTGTGAGGCAATTGTGGATAAGACAAGACAATGCTTCACTCTGTTCATGTTTATTGATCACTCCCTGTATATGTCTCTAAATATTTTGAAACAAAAATGTAGAAAATGTTGGCCAATCATCATCATCATCATAAACCACTTCTGCACTTAAGCCCCGTGTGGAGGAACAATTAGCGATCCAGTGCACGTTGGCTGCCGCTGGCTATTGTCATGCCATGAAGGCGTAAAGTGTCTTTAATGTTGTCGATCCAGGTTTTCCGCGGCCGTCTTCTTGCTCTTGTAGCTGATCTTCTGAGATGTAGTGCTTGTGATTGTATATGATCTTGCTGCATTCTAACAAGATGGCCAAACCATTTGATCTGCTGTTTCTCAGTGAATCTAGTACAAGGTGTCGTTCCCACAATTTGCCTGTTAGTTTCATTATTTACTCGATCTTGTATGGTTAGGTTGGCTGCTTTTCTCAGGCACCTCATCTCGCAGGTGGTGATTTTGCGTATATGGGCTTTAGATAGTGTCCATGTTTGGCACTGGTAGCTTAATGTTGGAATGAATATGCTATTAATAATCTGTCTCTTTGCACTCATAGTTATGCTTAGATGTCCTCATAATGGTGACAATTGGTATATAAGTGCATTTGCTTTCTGACATCTGGTTTATACTTCTCTGTCAATTCTGCCATCTTCTGTGATCATACTTCCTAGATATTTTAAACTCCCTAACTTGATTCAAAGCAGAACCATTTAGCTGTATGTGTAGTGGGGCAGGGGTTCTACTAACTTGCATTGTTTTGGTTGTGTTTACATTGATCTTCATGTTGTATTTACTGCATGCTGAGTTTAACCTGTTGAGGTGGTCTTGCAGTCTATGTTCTTCAGGGTAGAACAAGCACTGGTTGTCAGCAAATAGTAGTTCGTTTGTTGTTGTTGTTATCGATCCAGCGGCGCATGAGCTTTCGCCTTTTGGCCCAATGCCATGTAGTGGAATTTGCATGTTTTCACAAGCTGTTCTTTTCCTCCGTACAAGGTGTTCCACTTGTCTGGTCTCGGAGGGAGTAGTGTTCTTCTTGTCTCACTGAGTTTTGGGCACTCAAAGAGATGGTGTTCAACAGTTTCGTAGGGGTAGTTACATAGCTGGCACTCTGGGGAGTGTTGTGGCTGTATTCTGTTTAGGTGTCCATTGAGTGGAGTATGTTGCGTTCTAAGTCTGAAGATGGTGGCCTGGTCCCTTCTTGTTAGATGGTTAATGCTGTCATTAGGATCAGGGCCAGCCATATGTCTATAAACCTCTCTTCCAGTGTCTCCCATGGCCCATCTGTTCAACCAAGTCTCTTTGTTTATAGCTCTTATAAGTGTTTTTGCTGTCTGGAGGGTTGTCGCTGTAGGTGGTTGTTCTTGTGTTGCTCCTTTCTTTGCCAATCTGTCAGCTCTGTCATTACCTGGTGTGCCGGAGTGACCTGGAATCCACTGCATCACTATAGTAGTTCATTTAATGTTAGTGAATCAGTTACTTCTGATGTTTGTACTTCTGTTGGCCAATACATTTGCTAATAATTTGTGTAAGTTACCTCTGTAAAATATTTTTTGAACATATTTTTGTTCCGGAAATTCCCACCTACCTCAGCAAGCATGTTAGGGGAGGCAACTAATCAGAGGTGTTTCCTTCAGAGTTGGAGGACATTGCATAAGAGGCAAAGAACCAAGTCTGCATACAAATAAGCCAGATCTGTAAAGCAGATATGCACGCAAAACTCAAGTTGTCGATCAAGAGCAAAGTCAATGAGTGGACGGACCAGAATTCGCCGCATGAGTTTACAGCTGGTGAACATGAAGAAGAAGATACAGTATTACTTTATATTAGTGACACTCTTGATCAAGAGATGGTAATACACATGGGAGTTTCAGAGTCTACAGCCAGCACAAAAGTGTTAGAGATCCAGTGCGGTGTGACGTGCAGCGACTTCATGGTGATGTGTGACATACCAATGATAAAATAGGGCGTCGTTAATGTAACAAATATGGTTTCCAACAAATTACAATGTGACAGAACATGATGAATGTTAAAGGCTTCCAAATGCAGTTGAACGATGAACGCTCTTATAAAGGTTACATTAGTGTATTGACATACACAATGATCAACAGGGGAAAATGTGCAATTAATAAAACTCCAGACTCATCCAAACACGCCAACACAATCAGGCGCTCGTACATCAACTGACTTCATTACAAACAGCCGGTCGCAGTCAGACCTTGGAAATCCAGACAGTCACATCGATCTCAATCCGTCTTTGGAAATCCGAACAGTCAGCTCGATCTTCTCTTCTGCAGTCTGAACAAGGTAGTATAAGTATACCTGCTTCCTGCCGAGCGCAATAGACAGTATACCAGCTTTCCAATTAGGTTTTTAGTGGAGTCTCGGGGTGGAGCGTCCTCAAGGATCCAACTTTATACAACGGCTACTTCAGTGTCATCCCGGGGTAGAACTTCCTCAAGGATCCACACGTCTGTCTCCTTCAGACTGTAAACATCAAATGCTTTGACAACAATCCCTTAACAACATTACTTATTGTTTGACGTCCTATTTGCTCACTCAGTACTGGTGCGTTCTAGTGCATATCCGCACGCGACATGCGGGAATCTTTCATTGTGGAGATGGCACTTGAATAATTTGATAAGTATCACCTAATGGGGGGCTGTTTCCACAGTGAAGTTTGGCTGGAATAGATCTCCAACATGCTCTGTCTCTTGCCCTGGTTAGATACTCTCTCAGACTGCCCTGTCCATCTCTTGATATTGTTCTCCCGCTTGTATCGTTATCCACCTTTTGCTTTCCTGCCTTTGACCTTTCTTTTCAGCATGCTCTTCAGAAGCATGTTATGTCTTCTAAAGTAGCCAACAAGTATCCAAGTTGTCTCTTCTTTATTTCTTTCAGAAACTCTTTTCTCCCTTTAGAACCTATGTTTTGGCCTGTTTTTGTTTCCATGAAATATGACCTATTCTTCTCTATACCCACATTTCCAAAGACTCAATTCGATTTTCTAGTTGCTTATTCATTGTCCAAGTTTCTGCACACTATAGCAGGGTTGGGTAAGCATAACATTTGACAATTCTCATTTTTAGTGTGTTGTGTACTGCATACAGTATACTGCATAATGTTTACAAACTGGCATACTTTCCTGCATTGGTACAGAGTAAAATTGTATGAAATATATTTTGTTTCAGTGAGAGCGTATCACCTTGTTTTTATTAAAAATTAACTTTCTCTTGTGTCACAGGCCCAGCGGCAGATAGCCAGAGACACTATGGCTTCTGAGATGTCAAAATGGGATCCGGTTGTCCATGAGATCAGAGCTGTAAGTTGTTTTGTCATTATTCCTGGTGTTGCTGATATCGTACTTGTAAGCTGGTTTTTGTTGTGGTGAGATTAAAGGTGCAAACTATGATCATTTCCAATGCAGCTGTGAAATCATAAATTAACTCCTTTTCACTATTTCAGCACCAGATTTTGAGATATTGTTTAGCTATTTACAGTAATGAAGAGTTTGTCAACTGAACGTTTTTGTGTTTTTATATTATAATGAGTATTTTATCAGACATTGATTCACACTTCATCAAAAGGTGACAGTCTGCATTCTTTGGCCATATCATGAGAAAGAGTACTTTGTGACCATGGGAAAGATGAAGGGGAAAAGAAGCAAGGGGGGACCGAGGGAGAATATGCTTGACAGTTTGACATCATAGCTTGGAAGATCATGTCAGAATCGATGGAAAGTACACAAGGCAGAATGTTGTGAATAGACATGACAACCAATGCCAAAAAAGAAGAAGATTCACACTCAAAAGAGAGCAGTAATAGACAGGCATTAGACCATGCAAACTGAAGGCATAAGGCACATTCAGTTCAAAGCGACCACCTCTAAATGGTAACAGTATCAGTATCATTTGTGTGTGTGTTCATTGTGAATATTTCATTTGTTTTGTTCATTGTGAACATCTTATTGCTATTTGTCACCATGGAGAAATCATTATATTGTTCCCTCTGGATTTACAGTTTTTAATCTTGAGCACCTTTATATCATTAGTATTATATATCTTCATTTTTCATCAGGTATATATGTGTTTGTATGTGTCTGTGTTCATATATATATAACTGCACTAGACGGGCAAAATTTGGAGGTAAAAAAACTACCCAAAATATTTCAGGATCCTCGCCAGTGCTGCAGAACTTGTGCACTGTGCTGAGCTTCTTTGGACTCAGACTTAAGTTAGAAGAAGAACAGAGCACTTATGGATTACTACCCATGTGCCAGTCGGCTCTGTGGCTAAGTCGATGCGAACGCTTCGCTACGTAATGCCGGGATGCCAGGTTCGATCCCAGCTGCTGGCAACCCGCCTTGCGTTGGTTTCGACAGTGGTATCAAGAAAGCCGACCGTCCAGAAAGCAACTGGATGTAAATTGCCTAGAGAAACCACACAACAGCCAGGGGCTGTTAGGGTTGGTTCTGCAACATCCTGTAAAGGATACGCAACTAACTAACCCATGTGCCAGGATGTTGATCTGTTGTTCAAACCTCATAGACAGTTTTAAAGATGTCTGTTGATACTTACATAGTGTTTTTTTAGACTTTGACGGATAACAGAAACTGGCGGTTAAACAAGTGATGGTTTAATCAGAGTTTTATTAGAATATGTATTGTTCAGTAGTATTATTTCATTTGTGTTGTGGAACATGGATTTCATTGTCATTTGTTTGATTGCTGACACAGGCTCCGCAGGTGATTTTCTCAAAACGGCCACATGGTATCAAAATGTACGAAGCCGTCCAGCCAAAAGCGTTCACAGTAAGTGCCGTGTTGTTTTGTAGAGATTGTCATTGTGGTGTGTCCCTGTCATTTCTCACTTTCACCATCTTTCCTTAGTTGTATAGAGCTGCTGAATGTTGTGATGGAGTTAGACCACTTATCAAGATCATGGCCCTGATCAGATACGACTCTGTTGCCAGATGAGTAGTCGGCAAAAAACAGTAAACAGAAAGAAAAACAGAAAAGCGCTTCAAGGACACACTGAAGGCATCATTGGAAGCCTTCAGTGTAAACCCTGACACCTGAGAAGCTACAGCACAAGACCGGACTTTATGGCGCACAAATATCTGAAGTAGTGCAATGATGTGTGAGGCATCTAGAACAAGGGCAACTGAACTGCGAAGAAAGGTCAGAAAGAACCGTCAAACAGGCCATTTGTCTATAGACACTGCCCTGCCCTTATTGTCTTGGACTCTTTCGTATTGGACTTATAAGTCACCTCAGGACTCGCAAACATTCAACTGCAGTTTCAAGACGGATGAAAGAAGGAGCGGTCCTCATCACTTGTGATGGACGTAAAAACAAATCGACATTATCTGTTTTTTCTTCATACCATATGTTCTGTGGTGTTTACAAAGTGTGACATCATACATTGTGTAAGCGGCTCCAGGCATAAAAGGCACATTACTGAGGATACTAGTTAAGACAAGACCTGGAAAGGGGGATGCAGCCTGAAAAATGTTTCCAGGACAGACCAGGCTGTGGCACCTCTTCTAGAAGGGGAACTCTGAAAGCAGATAGCACTGCTGCTCTGATCTGGCTTCTTTTGTTGCATTCATTATTTCAAACATATTGGTGTTACCTTTCTTTTGAAGTTGACAAGACACGCTGAGAGAGGCAGAGATTGTGCTGCATGGGCTCTGCAATACTTCCTGGGCTTTGCACTATAAATAGAAGGAAATTCATCCATGATTTTAATTGGCCCTGCCTCCCTATGTCTGGACTGTGATTCCAACGCCATTATATATCACAGGGTAATACTGGAAATATGGAAAAGTGTCCACATGCTACTAGCAAAGTCTTAGAACCTGCAGAATTGGAACCCTGTTATGTCCGGGTTTCAGAACACATTTCTGCCACACAGAGCCTTACCAACAGATTATTGGTGGGCAAAATATCTTGAGATAAGAGATTGGTAAGAAAATTTAGGGCAAGGGAAAAATCGATAGCTCTGTATATTTATTCTTGTTAATTTATAAAGACTTTGTTTCTGTATCCCCTAGCCTCGAACAGCGTTAGAAAAAGAAATATATGAAGCTTTGGGGAAAAGTGAAGACGTCTTGAGACCAGATCAAAAATTGACAGTGGCTGAGCAAAGAGCCTTGAAGGTTATGTCTGTCAAAGAGGTAATTTTACTCATGTTCGTTTGGTCTAAAAGTTAATGAAGTGTTCCATTTTTAAATGTCACACCTGGTAGTGTCAAGCTTTGCCTTCGGACCTTGTACTTCCTGTGTGAGTGCCGACGCCACATTGTATAGGATGAGCTACTGAAACAGCGCTCTAACTAGCATGTTGTAAAAGTCTACTTATAAGCGATGTTTCTTCAAAGTAGAAGGCATCTCTATGAAATGCAAGGAGCCAGCAGTAGAACAGTAAGCCAGGTCTGTAAAACTGATATGCATGCATAACTCCAGTTCTGGAACGAGACTAAAGTTCAGAAGTGTATGATCAGCCAAAACTTTCTGCCAGAGTTTACAGTCGGAGAACATGAAATAGAAGAACCTTGTATTCCCTGCTCCTTGGATCCGTTGTACCGGATCTTCCTGGGCTAAAAACTCAAATTTATTTTCTGTCATCACTAAATTGATCCTCTGGATTCAGGTTCTTCAACATGGGGTCCACAGACCAGTGGCGGTGAGTGGAAATTGGCTGGTTGTCTGCTAAAGAGTGACCAATCGTGTAGCGGAAACCAAATGGAATCTGTTTACTCTCAGAAAGAAACACACTAGCTGCAGCCACATGTGTCAGATGTTCTCACCTCTAAGCCGATTTGATTAGTAACTGAGCGGACCAGCTGACAAGCACTTGTAAGATGAAGCATGGACAGAGCGGATATCATCCCAACTGTATGGACTTAGTGGATAATGACGAATCTCTGGCACTAACCTGGTTGCATGACATGGGTGTCAAGCATGGTGAAGCACATCTATGCTGCCACCGGGGCAAAGGTGGGAAATATCATAACCAGTTCCTCATGGAACAACAATCCATAGAGATACGTTGAAGTGCTGCATCGGAGGATTGAGCATTCATAGGAATGCCCAGCGTGCAGTGACGTCAATTATGATAACTAATTTATAACAGCATATTTAGTAAATAAATGCAATCTATATTCGCTTCATTTTTTTTTTAGCCATCGGCTGGTCTTTGAAGTATTTCTCCTCGTTTCTTGGTTAGCAGGTTGAAAATGGTCGAAGAACATGTCTCTGAGTCGTCTGCAGGGTTATCCCTGTGATGTTTCTCCACCTTGAAGTGATTAAGGGATCTGTTTGGGGGAGGGGGGTGCTGACTGTTAAAACGGGTTTTGTTAACAGTCACCAAAAGCAAAGTGACTCTTAAGTATATGAATTCACAATGACAGAACAATTATTTTAACTCCAAATAACATCTGCATTTTGTGTGTGTGTGTGTGAATATAACCACACCCACATCTAAACCTCTGTTATCTTGGTCAGTGGGGAGAAAAGCAGTAATTTCTGTGCTCTGTTTGCATTTAACAGCTAATTTCCGTGTATAAAAAAAACCTTTGTTTTTCAAAAAATAATACCTCTAAAAGTGAAAAATCTATCTTTTTTAATGACTTTAGGGCCACGAAGATGCAATAGCTGACATGCTTGTCTATCTGCTTGGTAGGACTAGGGTTCAAACCCCTGTATTTTGTTTTATACAAATTTACTAACACTTTTATTCTGCTTCTTCTGTTCACTTGTTTCTTATGGTAGAGTTTCAGAAAAAAAAGAACACCTTTCTCTTTAACACATTTACACATTTCTCTTGAAAAAGGTGCAATTATTAAAGATATTTACTTGGAGCCCCAAAAAAAAATAATATTGTAAAATGCATTCACTGCCTCTAAGCCACAAACCCACACTAAAAATAAGCAAATTAAATCTTAGTAATAATTAAATAGTTGTACGAACTCCCAAACATTGTATATTTATTTTCTAGGCTAAACAACGTCGTGCAGAATTGCTAAGACACCATGAGCTTCTGTCAAGAATGGAACTGAAAGCAAAATGGCAGAATAAAATCAAGAGCAAAAGGTGAGTTTTTGTTTGTTTTTTATTGAATTATTAAATATCACTGGAGCAAAGTGAGTCTGTGGTAAGAATGTCTGCTGCAGTGGAAGCTTCTTACCTGTTAACACTTTTTATAAAATCTGATAGCTGAGTTGAGTAAGTTTAACCTCCGGTAAGGAAATGAGAGTTTTTTTGTTGGTGGCAAAATTAAACATCTTAACCTGCACAGTTCATGGCGACAGCACTAGCTGTGCGGCTCTAAATTCTTGAGCTCATGACACCCCCCCTTCCACACAGGTAGTAAAACGGACAGCAGTGACAGTTTAACTGTGCAAGACACCGTACTGCACACTTCAAAGAGGGACAAAACTTGAGTGCTCCCGGGAGGGAGGTTTTTTGTGTGGAGAAAATAGAATAGATACACTGCCTCCTACTAAGCATGTCATAAAAGTGACTCATTATGGATTTGCTGAAGTTTAAGGGGTTGAATCAGAACCGACTGTATCGCAGCCTAGCTGTAAACCACAACACAGTGCGCAAACCACCATTTCAAAGCTGAATGAAGAAGAAAAAGGGACTTGAATGTTAGGGAGAAATGCTTCTGAGACTTAGGTATATAGTGCTAGACCTGTATTTTATAGACCAGTCTCCCTGTGTGGGTTCTGGGGCCCTCTTATAGGGGGGAGGGGGAAGAATAAACCCACTAACTACCCAAAAGCATGTCATAAGAGTCCGACTAATTGGGTGCTGCCTTCGAAGTCAGAGTGCATCTGCCTGAGAGGCAAGGAACCAGCAGTCTGCATACAGATGAGTCAGATCTGTAAAAAGTAATGGTGAAAATATCGGGGTGACTGCAGTCAAGCCAATACAAAGAATTCCAGAGAAATTTGACTAAAAAGCTGAATAAAATGGGGAAGCAGAGAAACGTGCACAAAACAACACATTAACGTTCTGGTTCTGGAACAGGACTGCAGTCCAAAAGTGGATGAACAATCAAAACTTTCCGCCAGAATTTAAAGCTGGTGAGCGCGAAGAGGAAGATAGATCAATCAGCTGTCAGTGGGTGTAGTAGTCGTTATCACATCGGTCACCTTTACATTCCCTGATTTTATGTAGTACCCATTTTAGGCTGGGTCAGACTGGGAGCCAGGGTCATTTTTGAAAAATAATGTCTGATTTCAACCCATTACCTTCAGGCCTGAGACAATCGTCTAGCCACTGCACCTCAGCGACACCACTTCTGACAGATAATTTGATTCTATTTATGATTCCATTTATAAGTCCACAGTTTTCAAGTTGAAATATACTTGTGTCACAGGTATCGAAAAATAGTGCGGAAGGAGAAGGTGATGGCTGAAAAGAAACTTTTAGAGGAGCTGCAGAAGGAAAACCCTGAAGCATTTTTGGAGAGACTGGGCCAGATTGAGAGGGACCGAATGGAGGTGAGGGTTTTTTGTGGTCATTTTTTTTTTTAAATCTTGTCACACTTTTATAGAATTTTGGTTTCTTGGGGTGGGAGTTAGATAGCTTCTGGTGTATGCTAGGTATAGCAGTCACTTTTTGAAAGACTTACCCTAGAGGTTACTTTGTAGCCATTTTGTTGTGGCCCAGGATGTTGCGATAAGATTCGATGTTTTAGTGAGCTTTTTAGGCCTGTTTTTGAGAGGGTAATCCTACACACTGCATTCCTTCAACAACAACAGAATGGGGGGGAGGGGGGGGGTAGCAGAAAGATTTAGTAATTGATATTTTGAAGATCTGTGATATCAAGATGTGTGCAAACAGAACATGAATGATACAGATATTGGGGTGGGATAAGGATGTCATGGACCATGTTGCATGTAGGGGAAGAAATCAGAAAGGGAAAAGGAATGAAGAAACAGATGATCATAGATAGGTTAAGAGCTGAACGCCTGGGAAGCGTGTTAAAAATGTAGTATGGCAGCAATGGTCTTGAAATCCTATGCTGTAATTGTGGAAGATTGTTCCCAATGTGAGCAGGTCTTGCTAGTCACACCTGCCATTGCACGATGTTAGTTGATAGGCTGTGATCCTCATGCCTCCCTATAACACGAAGTTAGTTGATAGGCTGTGATTCTCATGCCTCCCTATAACACGATGTTAGTTGATAGGCTGTGATCCTCATGCCTCCCTATAACACGAAGTTAGTTGATAGGCTGTGGTCCTCATGCCTCTCTATAACACGATGTTAGTTGATAGGCTGTGGTCCTCATGCCTCTCTATAACACGATGTTAGTTGATAGGCTGTGATCCTCATGCCTCCCTATAACACGATGTTAGTTGATAGGCTGTGATCCTCATGCCTCCCTATAACACGATGTTAGTTGATAGGCTGTGATCCTTATGCCTCCCTATAACACGATGTTAGTTGATAGGCTGTGGTTCTCATGTCTCCCTATAACACGATGTTAGTTGATAGGCTGTGATTCTCATGCCTCCCTATAACACGATGTTAGTTGATAGGCTGTGGTTCTCATGCCTCCCTATAACACGATGTTAGTTGATAGGCTGTGATTCTCATGCCTCCCTATAACACGATGTTAGTTGATAGGCTGTGATCCTCATGCCTCCCTATAACACGATGTTAGTTGATAGGCTGTGATCCTCATGCCTCCCTATAACACGATGTTAGTTGATAGGCTGTGATCCTTATGCCTCTCTATAACACGATGTTAGTTGATAGGCTGTGATCCTCATGCCTCCCTATAACACGATGTTAGTTGATAGGCTGTGGTTCTCATGTCTCCCTATAACACGATGTTAGTTGATAGGCTGTGATTCTCATGCCTCCCTATAACATGATGTTAGTTGATAGGCTGTGATCCTCATGCCTCCCTATAACACGATGTTAGTTGATAGGCTGTGATCCTCATGCCTCCCCTATCATGCCTCCCTATAACACGATGTTAGTTGATAGGCTGTGATCCTCATGCCTCCCTATAACACGATGTTAGTTGATAGGCTGTGATTCTCATGCCTCCCTATAACACGATGTTAGTTGATAGGCTGTGATTCTCATGCCTCCCTATAACACGATGTTAGTTGATAGGCTGTGGTTCTCATGCCTCCCTATAACATGATGTTAGTTGATAGGCTGTGGTCCTCATGCCTCTCTATAACACGATGTTAGTTGATAGGCTGTGATCCTCATGCCTCCCTATAACACGATGTTAGTTGATAGGCTGTGGTTCTCATGTCTCCCTATAACACGATGTTAGTTGATAGGCTGTGATCCTCATGCCTCCCTATAACACGATGTTAGTTGAGTAAGTTAACTGTCAGATACTCATTGCACATCTGACAAGTCCATAAGTGCTCAAATCCCATCTTTAGTATATCTCCCAGCGTGTGGAGACTGATACAACCAGTTCTGTGTTGGTTTACTATTCTTCTTTGGCTACCTGTGAAGTTTTCATGTTTGGCGACACCTCTTTTGACCTGAAGTTCTTCAAGTCTTTTCAGTGTTGCAGATTCAATGTCATCTCCTAAATCATCTTCTCGTCCTGCCTCCTTGAGAGCATTGAGAATGTCAACCCGGTCCATTTGTTTTTCTTGTGTCTACCGTGGCCTTGCCAGGGAGCCAATCTGCTCATTCCTTCCCTCTTACCCCAGAGAGTCCTGGCACAAAAATGGAATAAATTCCTTTCAGATGAGATTTCCTCAGCGGCTCCAAGAGTCAACTGATGGGATCTATCTTCCTTGATGGCATCAACACTGCAGGAGTCCTTTTCACAGCTATTTGGTGGTTAGCAATGCTAAACCATTTTATATAAGGCAGATACCCTAGCCACAATTATAACCTGAAGCTCCAACTTTGGGGATGCTGGTTGAATGTAATAATTTTTTTTTAGCAACGCAACGGAACAGCGTGTTTAGCAAGGACATAATCCAGTGGTTAAGTCTTTTCATTAGAATGCAGTCAGAACTTCCACCAACTCATAAATTACAATTAAAGAGATCTCAAATGATGATATCAGAGCAAGAGGATGCATGGGCATAAGACTGCATACTTACATTAAAGATATTGTATGTGGCAATCAGTCAATGCCACTCATTGAACACTTTCTCCCTATCTCACTTGTAGAGGGTTTCAAAGTAGAGAACCCTATTTGGCATAATAATCACAGCAAAAAGAGCATTAGTGTATGACTGTAAAAAATACAGCATATATTGAGCTGTATTTAAAATATTTGGCCAGATTTCTGTTGCATACCCTGACTAAACATGAAATAAATAATAAGACATCATGTGTTGCGTTGATACACATAGCTCGCACGATGTGGATGGGGGCTAAACTATATGGCTGGGACTCACGATCAGCAGTTACCCTATTTCCTGCAGCTGCCTTCATTTTATTTGCTCGTGAGTCCCAGCCATCTAGTTAAGCCCCAATCCATGCTGCGTGAGCGGTGTGGGAGATACTCTCATCGGTGGCGATAAAGTCCCAGGAAGTTCGCATTTGACACGTGACTGAGGCCCTGTTAGGGTATATTTTCTGCCTCGATAATGTGGGACCGTTATTCGGAAGATAGCCCAAATGTTAAATGATGTTAATAACAGATTGTTCTACACTTATTGCACATCAAGGCGTGGTAAGGGTCCTTAACTTACTTAACTCCCAACATTACTGATGTTTTGTACTTCTTATCTCTACAGGAACGCTTGACACTGAAACACAGAGGCGGAGGCAAGTTCTCAAGGATGCATAAGGCATATAGCAAGTTTGATGACAAGGTAGGTAATTATTGCTTTTGGTTTTTTTTGTGTATCAGTCTTATCTTCTCCTGTTGATCCTCGTTTATTTTAAAATGTGAATATGATGTCCTCTTCATGTTCACAATTTGTAAATTCCGGCAAAAAGTTCTGGTTGTTTGTCCACTTTTGAACTTTAGTCTTGTTCCAGAACTTGAGTTTTGTGTTCACATTCCCCCTTTTTGTGTGTGTCTGTGGCTCTTTGTAAGTAGACAGTTGGTTCCTGATTATTCCTTACTTACGTCCTTTTCAGGACGTAATTTTTTTCTTATTAGAAGCCCCACTCTGGCTTTTGCCAGGGGCCGCAATATAGGCAGGCCATAAATGTGGCCAATTGTCTGAACGTGGTTTCTGGGACCTCTCCACGGCGATCCTCATCCACATGGTGGCACTTTGTGTCATCGGGTGTTTATCGCTTGTGTATGTCCTAGTGGGGTAGAAAGTCAGTCAGTTGGTTCCTCACCTCTAAGGCAGACGCACTCTAGACTAAAGGGAAACACCCCTAATCCCTAATTAGTCGACTGTTATGAAATGCTTGAAAGGTGGGCAGTGGCTTTATTTTTAATCCCCCTCTAAAACGAGGCCTGGGAACCTATATAGGGAATCTTTTCATGTGTATCATGTAGCACCATGAGATTTCACTGCGCAATGTTAACTGCAAGAGAGTGCTTTTTTGTGTTTTTCGTTTATGAAGATTGCCAGGGGTTTTGTTATTTCCTCTATCCATAATTTGCATGGTCAGCCTCTCTTTCGATTGCAGCTTGGTTTGTATATCATTGCTCACTGTGGTATACTGTCTCTAGGCAGCAAGTTCAGTAACTGAATCATCTCTCTTGTTGGTTTCTAATGGTATAATCTTTGTATAGAGTATATTTATGAGAGCCTCCGTGATGTAGCAGCTAGACGCTGGCTTGTGGATCAAAATGTGGTGGTTTCAGATCCCGACTAAGCTGGACATTTTTTTTAAAAGACTTAAAAGCAGCCATGTTGACCCGGCCTTAAGTGGGTGCCTGGGAAGTAAAGGCAACCGGTCTGATGTCATCACACACAGAGTGCCGTTTGGTCTATAAAATATAGGTCTAACCCTACTTACCCGATATGCCTGAAGGTGTAGAAGAGGGTCCTTCTACAGTGTATCTTGTTAATTAGCCTGGTCAGCCATTGTTGTGCTTGCATTTTACTACCATTATCGCTACCTCTTGATCAGTAGATGTGGCGCTTGTGTTTACTAGCTCCCTCAAAATCATAGAGGGTAGACTTTAAAACTAATGAATAACTGGCGTAGCCGCTTATGCATTTCCACAGATCACGATCCCTAATTGCCTGGATGAGCTCTCTTGATGGTATCCCTCCATGCCATCGTTTCAGCCCATCTAGCATCATGTATCTTGGTCTGCCTCTACCCCTTTTTCTACTGACCTTTCCAGTTGTCATGATGTTCTCCGATGTCTCTCTTCTCATTATGTTTGCAAAGAACAGTGTTTGTCTCTTTCTACAATAAAGGTTGCTGCAATATATCTTCAACATGTTTGTGTCCTCATACACACTCTGAGACTGCTACTGGTTTTTAATGTTATCCTCTATTTTTGTGTCTCTGTCTGCTTATGTTTGCTTCAACTTTATACTTCAGAATGTTTTTTTTTTAATGAGTTTTCGTTTAAAATGACACTCTTCAAAAAATTTGTTTTTAAATTTACAGACAAGGGAATCCATTCAAGAAATGTTGCAGAAGAGTCGTGAGCTAACTAAAAAACAACAGGAGGCCAGCAGTAGCGAGGATGAAAGTGCTAACGTTAACACCAGTGAAGCAGACAGAAAGATTGAAGACATGAATGAAAGTGATGGTGAAGATGACGATGATGCAAAGAAGACAGGTGCCAGAGCCAGCCAGCTGGAGTTTTTGAAAGCTGTGAATAAAAAAGCAGGTGGTTGGTTGGATGTCCACAAGACAACATTTGTCTATACCCAGCAGGCATCTCAGGCTGTTGCAGATGTACACACAGATGGTGCAAACATCGATGCACACATCAGTGGGATAGCTTCTGTGGGTAATGGTGTGTCATTAGAAGCAGAGACTCATGGTGATGATTATACTGAAAAAATTTCAGTTTCAGCTGATTCTGAGAAGGATCCCTCTAATGAAGTCACACAGACATCAAAAGACACAGTTGATTTAGTCAAGCATCGTCCAGAACACACGCACAGTCAGGCAAGTTCTCAAGATAGTGAGGTTTCAGATATTCCACTGATTACATCAGAAGAGAAAAAGAAAAAAAGGCGAAAAAGAAACCCCAAAAAAGATCAAGAAAATCCTAGCAACAGTAGTGGAGCTTCTGTGTCCAAAGAAAAACCAGTGGAGGAAGTGACATTGCTGGTGGTCTCAGACAAGACTAAAGATGATAACAGTGATGAAGAAATGACTGTAACGATGGAGGAGCTGTTTCAGGACGAAGATGTTGTGGAGCAGTTCGCTCGGGAGAAGGCCGAAGCAGAGGAGAAAAGTCGACCTAAACTGGAAGATGCTAAACTGCCAGGTTGGGGCAGCTGGGCTGGTCCGGACTATAAATCCAGCAGGCAGAATCAGAAACAGAAACAAAAGTAAGTGGTTGCTGTGTGGTCTTTTGTTTTACGGCGCTGTATCTTGTTTTTTTTCAGGGGATTGTCAGTAATTATCATTTTGAGCGAGAATTTTATGGTGTATCCAGTAGGGCTCGCATAGAGTTGTATACTACAAGAGAGCCTAAGCTTAAGCTCCAGTACTTGACCTGGTGGTAAAATTAACGCTGGAAACCACCCAACATGAGACTTTTCTGTATCGTGGGGAAATAGAAGATCATTTCTGTTCAGCGTTTTGTGGCATTTGTGATCAAACCTTTCTACAAAACAGCCTAAGCTTCAGCTCCGCTACTTGACCTGGTGGTAAACTCTGTCAAATGTATTAATGTAGGAACTTATATTGGGGGGGGGGGGGGGGGTGCCTTTACCCAAGAATCAGTTTGCATTGTTTCCAACATTGGTTTGTTGATTGTTTCGGGGCAGTACAAACGAGTCTAAGCGTTTAATGACAGTTTGTGGTTTTACTAGGAAATGTTACACATTGTTGTTTACTCATCAGTCAACCAGGTGCCATGTCCACAGCTGAGGTTGGCTGTCAGTCAACCAGGTGCCATGTCCACAGCTGAGGTTGGCTGTCAGTGAACCAGGTGCCATGTCCACAGCTGAGGTTGGCTGTCAGTCAACCAGGTGCCATGTCCACAGTTGAGGTTGGCTGTCAGTCAACCAGGTGCCATGTCCACAGTTGAGGTTGGCTGTCAGTCAACCAGGTGCCATGTCCACAGTTGAGGTTGGCTGTCAGTCAACCAGGTGCCATGTCCACAGTTGAGGTTGGCTGTCAGTCAACCAGGTGCCATGTCCACAGTTGAGGTTGGCTGTCAGTCAACCAGGTGCCATGTCCACAGCTGAGGTTGGCTGTCAGTCAACCAGGTGCCATGTCCACAGCTGAGGTTGGCTGTCAGTCAACCAGGTGCCATGTCCACAGCTGAGGTTGGCTGTCAGTCAACCAGGTGCCATGTCCACAGCTGAGGTTGGCTGTCAGTCAACCAGGTGCCATGTCCACAGTTGAGGTTGGCTGTCAGTCAACCAGGTGCCATGTCCACAGTTGAGGTTGGCTGTCAGTCAACCAGGTGCCATGTCCACAGCTGAGGTTGGATGTCAGTCAACCAGGTGCCATGTCCACAGTTGAGGTTGGCTGTCAGTCAACCAGGTGCCATGTCCACAGCTGAGGTTGGCTGTCAGTCAACCAGGTGCCATGTCCACAGCTGAGGTTGGCTGTCAGTCAACCAGGTGCCATGTCCACAGCTGAGGTTGGCTGTCAGTCAACCAGGTGCCATGTCCACAGTTGAGGTTGGCTGTCAGTCAACCAGGTGCCATGTCCACACAGCTGAGGTTGGATGTCAGCCATGTCCACAGTTGAGGTTGGCTGTCAGTCAACCAGGTGCCATGTCCACAGATGAGGTTGGCTGTCAGTCAACCAGGTGCCATGTCCACAGCTGAGGTTGGATGTCAGTCAACCAGGTGCCATGTCCACGGTTGAGGTTGGCTGGAATTGATCTTCAACTTGCTCTATCTCTTGGTTGTACACTTTCTCAGATTGCTGTTTTTCCATCTCTAAGGTTGTCCAACTACTTGCCTCTTGCTTTCCTGCCCTCGACCTTTCCCTCCAGTATGGTTTTTTTTAATATAAAGAAAATGTCTTTTAATGAGCCATAATATTTCAGATGTATTTTTTTTCTTCAGTTATTTGTTTTGCATTTGCAGTCTTTCTAGAACCTCTCAAATTTTTTCTATTGTCTACAACCTGTTCCTCTGTATGTCCACATTGACAGGAAACAAGTTTCAATTTCCTAGTTGCCTGTTCATTACCCAAGTTTATGCAAAATACAGAAGGATTCAATATTCGCTACATGTGACGATTCTCATTTTTAATGTGTTATTTCTTTTGCTGTCAATAATGTTTGCATCTTATTGAAGTTTTTTTTTTAGCCATTCCTATCCTCTGTTTTCTGTCTCACTTCTGCCATCATCCTTTATAATATATCCAAGATAGGAGGAACTTGTTTTCTCAGACCATTGTCAAAGTCTGAAAGTCTGCTGAAGATAGGAGAAATGTGTTAGTTTTCTCATTCCATAAGTGCTCTGCCACCATTAGGGACAGCTGATAAGAAACTGTCATTCTGTGTCTCCATCCGCACGCAACTCTGAGGCTACAGTGATGTTCCTCCATTTACCCCAGAGTGTTAACTCTGGTACCCATTTCCTAGAGGCTTGGTGACCTCAGGAACCACCCGGTTTCGAACACTAGCTGTAGGCAGTAGCAGAGTCGCAGCTGGATTTGAAAGTGAGTCTCCTATCGACTGAGCTAACGCGGTCCCCATAGTCTTCAGCAGTGCTCAGCTTTGCATCCCAACACTGAACCCATTCATCCCATACAAATCTTTAAAAACACTAGTTGTCATCGTTAATCAGCAGGTTCTATGCAGAGCGTCACTGTCGTCACGGCACACCTGCAAGTCTTTCTTTCTGTGGCCGATTCTCCAGCCCTGTGTGCTTTCATAGCCAGGGCATCTTGAGTGTTTTGTATCCACATTCGCAGAAGTCTGCCTCTGCTTTGTCTTCCAAAAACTATCCTCCATCGCAGTTCTATTCAGGTGACCATTACATTTCACATCCCTGGTTAGTACTTTATGAAGAATGAAGTTCAACCCCACCCAGTGACACAAAGTGCTCATGCTGTGGGATTTTGAAGACTATTCTCAGTCAACACTTGAATACATTTGTGATAAAATATGTCTGCAAGACATTGGAAACTATAGCTCCAGTGTTTGTCCTTGTCCCAAAGAAAGACTGTCTAATCTGTACATTCTGTTCACAGGGCTATTTCAAAGGCAAAGCGCCTTCAGTTGCAGAGGGAGAAGATAAAACAGCCCAACGTCTGGTTGAATCCGGATAGGGATGCGGCCATGCGAAAGCTGCAGGTAGGATTTTGTTTCTCATGGACAAGTGTAATGATGATATCTTGAAAGAAATTAACTCACAAAGGTTTTAAGTAAAGAGGATTCTTGCACCAGATTTGATCCCATATGGCTTGGTCTCTCTGCAGGGTAGCTAGACGCATAACAAGAGTCACACTTAACATGTCCTAACCCACATAGGGCTGCAAGTTACACCAGGCTGGTGTAGCTTTCATAGGTGCCCTGATTGTAACTTCTTTGGAGGTTGAACAAGGTATCTGGGATCTGCTGTCCTGGTTGAAATTTCTTAATCTCAGGATGCTATGGTAAATCTTTAGGTAGCATCCTGGAGGAGACAACCTGGTTAATTAATTAACACAAGGCAAAAGCTCCTCCTCTAGCTCCAGCAACATTGCTAGGGTTCTCCATAATCTTTTCAAATGTCAGTCATTAACCTAGTCTGTGAAATGAACCTCAGAGTCCCCATGTTGATTCCGGGGCCTATTTGTAGGGAAATGCACCCACTGCCTCTATCAAAAAAGGTTAGTTGCGTATCCTTTACAGGACGTTGCAGAACCAACCCCAGCAGCCCCTGGCTGTTGTGTGGTTTCTCTAGGCAAATTTACATCCAGTAGTTTGCTACTGCTTTCTGGACGGTCAGCCCCCTGATACCACTGTCGAAACCAACACAAGGCGCATGGCCCACAGCTGGGATCGAACCTGGCACCCAGGCATTACAAAGTGTTTGCATCGACTTAGCCACAGAGCCGACGCCTCTATCAAGCATGTTGTAAAAGTCTATTAGTTAGAGCTGCTGCCTTTGAAGTCGGGAGTGTATCTACCTGAGAGATAAGGAACCAATGTCTGCATACAGATAATGTAGATCTGTAAAATGGATATGCACGCAAAAATCAAGTTCTGGAACAAGATTAAAATCCAAACATGAACAAACAACCAATAGTTTACAGCCAGTGAATGTGAAGAAGAGAACCTCGGAGCACCACTAACTAGGAAGGGTAACCTGGATAACAAATGCCTCAAGAAGTCGAGTGTGACGGCTGAAAGGCACAAATGTTGCAGCTGTGTTGTAAACAGGCACAGTGCAGTTGCATCACTCGGACAAAGGATGGATGAGAAGAAGAACCTTAGAATAAACAGCAACCACTTAGCCTTGGCAGCGTCCGTTGCTAAGGCGTTGCGAGTCCGACTCGTAATCCAACGTACCGCGATCGAAACCCACTGCGGGCTGCGTGGATTTTTATCGTGGTATGGGACGTCGCAGGTCGATCCCGCCTCAAATGGGTACCAGGAAGGGCTGTCCTGGGAAAGTAAAAACAGCGGGCGTAATGCTGACCACATTACCCACCGAGTGCTGATGGTCTGTAAAAATATGGCTGCTCTTCCCATATGCCCGATACGCCTAAAGGTGTGGAAAGGGATCTTTATTTTCTTTACTTTTTTTACTTAGCCTTGGGAGGCGTTTCCCACCAACCCATGAATGTTTAAAGGTTAGAAATAAGCCTAAATTACTGTTACCTTATCTTGTACCACTGTAATTTGTATTTCGAGTTCTAAGAAGTCTTCTTCACAGTCACCGGCGCAAAGTTCTGGGTGTTCATCCACCTTTGGACTTTAGTCTTGTTCCAGAACCTGTTATGTGCACGTCTGGTATACAGACATTTGGTTCCTTGCCTCTTAGGGTACTCTGACATAGGAAGAACCCCTAATTAGTTGACTTTTACAACAGTTCTTTGTGTGTTGGGGAGGGGGGGGGGGTGGATCTATCTATCTCTTTCCCCTACTCCATGAGATCCTGGAAACCCACACAGGGAGTTCAAAGATGTGAATCTTTGTCTAAAATAAAATAAAATAATAAAAATCCACCAGCCTTGTATTAAAAACTGTTAATAAAGAAGCCGAAAATGTCAGTTTTGAATATCTTTGCTCATTTGTGAACAACAATGTTAAATTAACGATTTTGAAGTCATGTATCTTTCCTGTTGCAACTTATAAATGTGAGTCATGGACTCTTAGTCGGTGTAGAAGAAACTTGGTGCTTTTAAATTAAAATGTTAGTAAAAAATTCTTAGAATTCCTTGGACCACACACAAAGACTGACATCCTACATAATCTGTGTATCGGGGAAAACTGGCTGATAAACAGCACCCTATCCTGAAAGCTGAGGTATTTAGGCCCTGTTAATTTTTATGGTGCCCGGTTCTCTAGCGTAGATGGTTAAACCTGATTTCGCGGTGACCGGTAACGAACTTCGTGTGGTCCGGGTTCACTGCCGGCGGTAGGTAGAAAAGCCACTTTTCCCCCAGATTTACGGTACCTATCATGGAATTAAGGCCAGAGGGTTGCGATACCCATAGTACCGAGCCAAAGGGTTAACCGCTCATGGTTTCTAGATATTTATTGAAGAAAAAAATCATTATGTTGGCCCTTAAAAAAACTAATAGTTTCAACAACAAAAAAAGAGGCAGAAGCCAGCGTCTGCGAAAATGGATACAGCACATTGAAAAATGCATTGACTATGAAAGTACATAGAGCTTGAGAATTGGCTGGAGACAGAGATCTGCATATGTGCCATGACGAGCATCACATTCCGTAAAGAACCTGCTTATTGATATAATGAGGATGATTTTTAACAAGGTTTCAATTTTTTCTTTCCAGCCGAAGACTGTTCCGTTCCCCTACACGTCAGTGCAACAGTACGAGGCATCTGTTCGGCAGCCAGTCTCACGAGGGTTTGTGCGAGAGACGGCGTTCAAGTTGTTAACGAAGCCGGAGGTGGTTACCAAGCTGGGTCATATAATAAAGCCTCTGGATAAGGACGATTATGTCAAGGAAAGAGAAATTGAATTTGACGATGAGCCCAAAACATCTTCCTCTCATAAAAAAAGAGGACAGAAACGAAAGTCTGTAAAATGATGCATAAAATATGTTAAAAAAATGTAAAATGTTTATTGTTAAAACGCAAATTTCAATTGTTTAAAAATGAATTTAGGTAATGAGGAAACAATATACTGCATCAGTTGCCCATTTCAGATTTCTCTGTATCTTATCAGGGACATGTTAACGCTAACATATCATCATCATGTGATTTCCTGACACATGGGAGCTCATGCTCTCCACAATCTGATCTTCAGTAGCATGGATCAGTTCATCTTCTGACACCCCTCCATGCTGAGATGACAGAAGGGTAACAAGGATCTCCTTGTGTTATCTTCCTGTATTTTTTTCACAGATATTTCCAGTAGTTGCATCCTCCTTCTTCTCATAACATGCCCACAAATGATTTCTCTTTCTGCTGTTTGTGATAAAGTTGTCTTCGGGGCAACTTATGCCTCTTTTGTACCTCGCGATGGAAGTCTTAGAATAACCACATTATCCTTTGTTTGCATAACACATTAGTTGCCTATCTGTATTTAGGCAGCCTCAGTAGTAAACTTTCCAAAACCCACCACTCTCGGTCGTAGGCCTGAAGTCTAGAGAAGAGAGTCCAATTCTCCCAAAGTGACTGACCTGTTTGATTGTTTGGCGTTTACCAAATTTAAGGCAAATTGACTGACCTGTTTGATTGTTTGGCGTTTACCATATTTAAGGCAAAGTGACTGACCTGTTTGATTGTTTGGCGTTTACCATATTTAAGGCAAAGTGACTGACCTGTTTGATTGTTTGGAATTTACCATATTTAAAGCACAAGTTACTTTTTTGTGTGTGGCTTAAACTACCATGGTTTACATTTAAGTTAAATATAATATGGATGTCCCTTCGACTCTGCCACCAAGTTTAGAAAAGTTGTAAAACTTCTGTTTATGAATGAATCAAGTACTGCAGACACCCAGCCAGACCTTGAAAAGGTCACACACAAATCTTCAAAATGGCCTTTAAAATTGGTAAAGGACCCTTCTCCATGCCTATATCCATATTTGGCATATGGTGCTATAGACCACTGGAAGGATGTGGTCACCATCGCTGAATTTACTTGGTCATTTTTTATATATATTAAGAATCTAAGCTCCGTCATGACCTGAACCCCATGACCTTCTGGTCCACAGCCGAGCGTCTGGCCGCTACAGTGTGACAGCTCTTAGCCTTTAAAGTGGTTGATGAATTTGGCTATGGACCCAGCATAGTACATTATCTAATAGGAATTGTGCCTGTAATTGATAGGAATTGTCTTCTTTACGTCCTCTTTTGCTGCTTCAGATTTCAAGGGAGATAAAATGTCCTGCTTTTCTGGTTGCTTCGATCAAAGACACGTTGTGGTGCTATAGAGTTTCTCTGAATTTGATGTTATCCTTCCATTTTGTTCTTGATCTGTTTCATGCTCTACGTCCCTCTCCTCTTTTGGTGAATGCCTTGAATGGCATAGCATCAGAAGGCAAGCTCTCCAGGTGGGCAAACCATTTGATTTGCCGTCTTTTTATGTAATTTAGAATTGGTAAGTTTTATTGTGTGACCAAGTCTGGCACTGGTAGCATAAACAAAAGATAGGAATTGTGCCTGGGTAATTTCTAAACAGATCCAGTATGTCTTGAGGTGTGCTGAAGTGATCGGAGTTTGCATGGGCAGTCAAATTCAGGGTTCTAAACCTCCATAAGGTCATGAAGATTCTTCTGCTGGGGTTGGGATTTATGGTTTAGACAATTGTCAAGACTACCAACAAATAATGCACTACAGAAAGCCCTGTCAGTTTGACATAATGGAACTATGTTTAATTAAGAAAGGCACAAACCAAGAACAAGATGGAAAGATAATATCAGAGAAAAACTACAACAGCAAGATGTGTTTGAGGCAGCCAGAAGCAGAACCTTTTATCTGCCTCGGCACCTGAAGCAATAAAGAGGATGTGAAGAAGAAAACCACTGCTGTCTTTCAGAATGTGAATCAGCTTTACACACATGCTGTCATTATAACTGACTCACAGAGCATGCTGATAAAAGAGGAGACAGGCATGCTCCATGCAGAGTGGCAAGCATCCTTTGGATATTTTCTCCAGGTCATGCTGATGTGTTGGAAATGAGCAGGCAGATAGACTGGCCAGTTCTGCACCACTTGGTGGTGAACTGTTGTATGACAAGCTGGATGTTGTGAGGGCCCTCTGGGAGCCAGTGAACAGTGCCGATGCACAAATAGATCATTAAGGTCTGAGGAGAATGGCACTGTGGGAAGTTACAAAGGGATCTGGTCGACGCTCGGCACTCAGGGGGAGTGAGAGGGATTTACAATTACTGGTATCATCGGAATTTAAATTCTTCATTTGCTGCTAAAAATGGGAACGAAGCGCTTAAGGGGGTGTCCAGAGTGCTGTGATGTCGATGTTATTTTACCTATGCTAGGTTAAAATATATTTTGGCAAAGGTGATTTTCAATGGTTAGATACAAAAAATATCCATATTCCATAATTGTTGGCTCAGTTGTGTCTTTAAGATATATGACCAAACACCATGTCATGTAACTTGTTTCCCTTTTAAATTTGATCAGGGCATGCCTAAGAAATCTGGCTATCCTGGTAGCAAACGCCATTTTTTTCCCCCCCCCCCCCCCCCCCCCCCCCCCTGCTGCAGCATTTTGCTTTCATATAAACGTGCAATACAAATGTATGAACTTTGTTGTATAAAACTACTAAAGACTAAAAAAAAAGTTCACTGGCACTACTATGGCTTAGGGATTGCGTATGTGCTTCATAATGCCAGGTTCGATGGCAGGTGTGGACGATTTATTTGTCTTGCTTTGGTTTCGACAATGGTACCGAAAGCTGACTGTTCAGGAGCAGTGGCAAACTACTGAACATAGAATTTGCTCAGAAAAACCACAACAGGCAAAAAATGCTAGGGTTGATTCTGCAACGTCCTGTGAAGGATACGCAACTAACTTGAACTATAGCTTTATTTTTTTTTATTACTACTGCCTGTATATATATATATATCACATTCGACAGAGGTTTATGTAGTACAGAGGTTTAGGGCCACAATAGTAGTGCAGTCACTGTGAACTGTGCAGGATAGGAATTGTTTAGCTCCAACAAAAGATAGTTAAAAACAACAAAAACAGAAATAGTTATCCAATGGCGCTTTACCACTAAAAAAAAAAGATTAGAAGAAAAACGCAGTTACTGAAAATAACATAATTGTGACATTCAAAATCTGTGATTTAATAAGAGAAACTGTTCATACTGCATACAAGAATACCTTAGCATTCAACTGAAAGTTCTTCTGCATCTAGGTCAACAACGGTTTTTAGTTGTATGGGCCTTTTCATCAACTAATTAAAACCTGCCATCAAATAACTGCATTTTTGGAGGACCCAAACCCCGAATCAGATAATATTTGTTCTACACTAGATACCGCATTAGAGTGTTTGATATTTTACCTACGCTGGGTTAAAATAATTCTGAAACTTCAAAGTGCAGATGACATGGATCTCCTTTTGAACACTAAAGCAAATAGCAAATTTAATCATGTCTGTTTAAAAAAAAAACAGTGAAGATAAAAACCTTCTTGAATTAAGAAAATGAAATTGTGTCAACAAATAAAAGTGGCTGTCACCCAAAAGGTTAGTTGCATATCCTTTACAGGACGTAGCAGAACCAACGCCAAAGGCTGTTGTGTCGTTTTTCTAGGCAAATTTACATCCAGTAGTTTGCCATTGCTTTCTGGATGGTTGGTTTTTTTTTATACCACTGTCCCAACCAATGCAAGGCCTATAGGATTGAACACAGGATTCCGGCATTACGAAGCGTTCGCATCGACCTAGCCACAGAGCCGGCTGTCACCTAAAAATAATAAATGATGAAGAAATGGAAAGCGTCACATTCCTTGAATATCTAGGCTATAATAAATAGCGATGGAGACTGTTTGACAGAAATCAAAATGAGGACAGCCATAGCAATGCAAAGATTAAACTGCATTAAAAGTCTAGTTAAGCAGAAGGTATGGTACCAGGAAGGAGGGGCAGGGGCCGACCAACACGAAGATGCACACAACATATAAGTGACGTGTTGCATATGGTACGTGAGGCAGGACAGCTGGTGAGAGACCGTGTTACTTTCAGGCAGACCGTGATAACAGCGACATTCTGCAAAGGACCTGCTACATGATGATGATATCTGTGCTGGTATACCCACACGTGTGGCACAAATGAAGTACCTTGTGTGCTCGGTACATCCTTGAACATGGCAAAAATCTTGTTTCAGTATTACACCGAGACAACCTTGAAAAAAACTAAGGAGACCATGAAAAGCCTTGAAATTGATTGGTGAATTTGGCTATGAACCCTGCAGCTATATGATGATGGTGGGTTAAAATATATTTCTCCAACCTAATGTAACGGATAACAGCATAATTTTCAAGTGTATTTATCATCATACCAAGGTATTAAACTTGCTTCTCCCAAATTAGAGCTCTACGATCTGTTTAAACAATTTAAAAAAAATAAAGTAGTAGAAGTAGATAAATTTATTATTTCTTCTTTAATTATAATTTGAAAGTAAGATTATATCAGACTACTGGCATATGGTGCTAGGCCTCATTATTTAGGGACCAGCCAGCACTCAATGGGTGCATATCAGCCACCTTGACGTCCCATGACCATTTTAGGCTTGATCGAACCGTGAGCTCTAGACCACTTACAACAATCCACCCCGATGCAGATTTGAACCCAGGAACTTGGTGCCAGCACATATCCAGTGTGCTCTTCATGGTGTTGGTGTTTCACCTTTGAACCAACACACATGTATTGTTATTGACAATCTGGTGAAAGTTCTCAATATTCACGACCAAAACAAAAGGTACACAGTATCATAGCCTGCTCTTTCTGTGTTCATGTTATCAGTTCCTGTGATGAGGTTCCTCTATTCTGCAGTGCCACAGCTTTCTATTCTGCCAGTGCTTTACTTTTTAACACGCTCAGCTGCGGATCAGAAG